AAGTTAATAAGTATATGGTCATTGTCAAACTGCTAGAGGGAACCAATAAGCTGCCCTTAGTAGAGAAGGTGGGAGGGACATCAGGACCCAGTGAGGCTTGGAAAGGTGGGTCAGTCACGAGGACTACAATCCGCCCCCCCACTCACCTGAGGATATGTTTTATTGGGGAGGAAGGGAAAGGAAAGGGAGAGAGGGAGGGAGGGAGGAAGGGAAAGGAAAGGAAGGAAGGAAGGAAGGAAGGAAGGAAGGAAATGTAAGAGTTGGGAGTGGGTGAGTGAGTGTCTCCACATGTGTCCTGGGGCACTGGTCCCTAGAGTCAGATTGGACATTTGAGTCCACATGCGGGTGACTCTGTTGGAAGGAAGATCCCATGGATGGATGACGTGAAGGGGCCTGTTACAGAAGCCGTGGGAGAGAAAATGGTCACTGACAAGGAGGACCCTGTGTTCCCCATCCCCAGGCAATTAATTCAGTGGCTGCTCCATGATGGGTTTCCCAGGTAGCACCCAGCATTCCGTTAGCTTTTCTGTAGGAGCCACGGCAGGGGCCACCCTTGGCTTCTCAGTGCCCCTCTCTGCAACCTGGGTGGGAGGGTAATCCTGACATAGTGAGGCCAGCGCAGAGCTGCTGGGAACTTCGTGCTGGGGGGTGAGTTTGGAGCAGTGAGGTGGTGCTGGATCCCAGAGGCCCTCCTGGGTGCGGTGCTGACAGACCCTGTGCTCTGGTGCTTGGGGATGGGGACCTCCCCACGCGGGTGGGGCCAGGTGTGTGCGTCAGCCTCCACCTGCCGCACCAAGACAGCTTCCGCACAGGAACGCCTTCTCCCTTCCCAGCGCAGAGCAGGTGGGTGGGGAGGAACACATGCATCCCATCCTGCCGTGGCTCAAACACCTGCTGGATCTCAGGAGGTTGGAGCCAGTGTCCTTCGGCATCAGCTCAAGCTCAAGCTCAGGGCCCCTCTGAAAGCAGATCCAGGTGCCACCACCTCTGCACCAGTTGGTTTCCTGGGTAGAGACCCCTTCATGGCTGGTAGATGCTGCTCAGGACCACGCCTCCCCACCCTGTTAGCTTTAGGAAATTGCTTCCTTCAAAGGCCTGGGGGTGCGGGCCCCGCAAAGCAGATAGTTAATGGGAATATCTCGGCTTCCCACAGCCACAGTGGTAAAAACCTGCAGTGGAGGTGGCCGCTCCGGCTCAGCCAGGGCCCTCCTGCCGGCCACCTTGGGTGTGGGCAGCCCGAGCCTGCGTGCAGCCAGGACCTGCCTGAGGGTTGCACCTCTGCAGCTAGAGGCTGCTCAGGCACCTCCACAGTG